GATCAGACCAGTCAGTGCCTTCATATAATATTGCAGTATCATCTGCAAAACTAGTTATTTTGCCAACACAATTAATTTGGAAAATATCATTTAAATATATATTGAATAACAGCGGACCTAAGACAGTTCCTTGTGGGACACCACACTTAATATACATTTCTTTACTAAATGATCCTGATATCTGTACAGATTGTGGGCGATTTGACAAATAACTTTCGATCAGTGAGTACGCGTTTCCTCTGAAACCAATTCTCTCCAATGCTTCTAATAATAATTTGTGATTAACTGTGTCGAAAGCTTTCTTTAAATCAACAAAAATGCAGATTGAAGGGATTCTGTTATCAATATTTTGATATATTTGATTTACAATTTTAGTTATTGCGTCCGATGTAGCCTTCCCTTCTGTAAATCCATATTGATTTTCACTTAAAATTTTGAAATGAAATCAATAAATGTATTTTTACTGGCCCTGCTGATGTAATGGTTCATTAGTTCCCTATTGAGGATGCTTAAGAACGAGCAAGGTCGCCTTCTTACTTAAATCAAATATTTGACTGTCTTGCCACTCCCACGTTAAGATAAACAACGCATCCTTAAAAGAAGCAAGTGAAAATGAGGAAAGCCTTGGTGGTAGATTCACTTGTTTTGTAACAGATGATTTAGTCGTCGGCTTCTTTCAACAAGAAGTATGCTATTATTTGGATTTAACTGTTGCACTACAGTGCGATTTTGCGACTCCTGCCATTTTATCGTTAGTTTCTGTTGTTATCTATGATGAATTGTCAAGCAATAACAGAATCCCAAGCACGCAACATCATCATAGTCATTTGTCACGTACTAGCCGCTGTTTTTAGGTCAGTTTGAAAAATAAAAGGTTGCATGCTGACAATAAGATAACAGCGTTTATATGTTGACTGAGTTTCATCCCAGTATCGCTATTTTCTATGTTGTAAATAAAGTTGACTGACGTCACTACGAGAAGTGCAGGACCGATTTATTATGCTGTGTTAATCAATTGAGACACCAGTGGATAAAGGTGTCATTTAACATTTTTTTTAATCCAATTTTTTTTGCATTAAGGAGTGTTTATTTCATCTTGTGATTACTTTCTTGCAAAACAATATAACAAATTAAAGTAAATATTTAAAATTTCAACAAAAAATGTTCTCCATACAATGATTTTGTTACATGACAAGTTTCCGGGTATAAAGAAAGGCCCTACAACATGATATCCGAAAATGCTGGCTTACACAGCATATTGCGACCGTACCTATAGAAATAAATGTGGGTCCGAGTCACTCCAATATCGACAGCACCATGTAAATAGAACGTATACTCTTCCGAGAAACAAATATTAAATAACAGGTTCACATTGTTCATTAAACGTTGGGACACTAATCTGCCAAACTCCAATCTTCTATCAAAATCGTCTTCATTAAGCTCATTGACAAGTTTTTATCTTGTACGGGTGAAATTTATTGTCTTTCAAAATTCATTCTACTGTTGAGCGTGTAAGTCATGAAGTAACCAGTCCACGAGTGCTTTGGGTGTTGCCAACTGCTACGTGTCCCCAAACTGCCTTTTTGTGCGGCTTCATTTCTAAGTGATCAATTTTCTCGATGGAGATTATTAGACACAGATCCAGTTTCTTCAAACTACCTTAGGGGCCGTTCAAGTATCACGTGAGCAGATTTATTACAATTATTTACCCCCCATCCCCTTTGTCAGCAAAAGTAAGCAAAGCTCTTACCCCCTCCCCCCATGCTTACGTAAACATTTGTCAATTAATGTATTGTTTTTTTAATATTATAATTATAACGTTATAATTATAATTTGAAAAATAAGAAAATAGATCTAGGATAGAGATTATATTTTACTGATAGAGTAAAGGACAAAAATATTATATCTTACTAACATAACAAACTTATTTTAAATTTTTGGTACATATATTAAATTCAAATTAACAGTCTTCAGTCCATGAAACCCGAATCCATGATTCTAAGTTTTCGATGACATTGGATTGCTTCGATTGCTGCTCAGTGTTGTGAGTTTGGTCGCTTTCATCGGATTTTGGAATGTCTACGTCGTTCTCATCGAGCCATTCAACATCATGGTGCTCTAAATTTTGAATAATGCACATCAGTTCATTAGCACGATGAGCAGCGACTCTTACAGGCCTAACTTCCCTATCAGTGTGCGTGTTTACTTTTTTATGGATATTTTCGATGTGACGATTTAGTGACTTGACGGAAGCATGATAAAGACCCACACGTTTTGCATGTTCGACTTGATAGCCGCAATTTTACCATCGGACAAAAATAATCGTAGGGCATTTGCTTATTTGCCGCAGTTACTCCAAGAGGAACTCGAGCTTTATCATTTTGAGATATGAAAAATAGTTGATCTGGTCCAAGTATAGATGCTATGTTCTCTAAATAATGGATTGATGTTTCAGCGAACTTGCTATCTAAGTGGCTCTTGTGGTGATCAGTTTGAGCCCGAATGAGCTTAACAGGGACTGTCGATACATGTCTTCGTCCCTCTGCAGAATTAGATTTTCTGGGAATCAAACGAAGATATGTCCCACTGCGACTAATGTCAAATCCTATTTTACGTAATTCTTGTGTGAGTTCATCAAGAGTTTTTACGCTGCGAATTGATTCCGTTTGTCTTCTAACATCTGCTGCACTCCCAAATAAAGCTATATCCGCGATTGTTTTCAATGGTGAATGGTGATTGATTTCAAGATTAGGACGTCCCACTGAATCCCTCAGAGATAGTCTTTTTTTATTTCTGGATTTTCATGACAAATATCTTCTAACTTTCTTTTCATACCATCCCTGTGTTTCTTCTGGGCAACTGCATTTTGAACCTTCCTGTTTAAAGACTGTTTTGGTGTTTTTATTTCCTCGCGCAACTTAATGATCTGTTTATCAACTTCAGCACGGCTTGGCATAGTACCTCTGGCAGAATACAAAGCATTCAGATTTTTTTCGAGTAGAGCAATCTTATTTCTCATAGCTTCCTGAGAAGGTTTTGCTCTCTGTTTATCTGTATTTTCAATAATTTCGCATTGCTGTTGTGATTCATTACCGGATTTTATTTTATCTTCTTCCTCTTTTTTAATATTTGAAGCTGACTGTATAATTTGTGTTTTTTCCGCAGGTTTACAGGTTGCCTAAAAATAAAAACTTTCTATGGCTTCTATTAAAGATTCTCTTATTAAGCTACGTAAATACAAAGTATGGCAATATATATGGTAAATACAAAACCCTATGGCTTTGAATCTAATATGTTTTAAACGAGCAATTCGTTCCGGTCACAAAATACAGGGTTAGTTTTCTGTATATATATATATATATGTGACCAATTGATGGAATCAATCATAAGAAATAAATCTATAATACAATGAATCTTACCTCTATACTTTGAGATAGGCCATAATATTTTCTAATCAGTAAAGAGAAACTTTTTCGCGATTTCTAATATTTCTACCTAAAGGTACCTAAAATGATTTCGTCACTCACATTAGAAAAAAAATTTAGTAGATTGGATTTATTCTTAGTCGCCGCTTGCAATTCTTCTTCGATTCTCTTAGATACAATAATATCTAGTTTCCTTGTCGGATTTTGCTTCGTTAACTAACTTTTGAACATTTTGTACTTTCGTACTTGTATGAGCTTTTTTAAAACTTTCAAACAATTTTTGATATAACTTGGATTTGTCTATGTGAAACGACATCTTATTTAAACATTAAACTTTGGCTAATGGAATCAATGGTAACACAAATGTTAACTTGCTTTACTATACTTACAATACGTCTACTCGCTTTAGTATCCAAACGAAACAATACACTGATAGAGGAAATTTAGACAAGTGAACACCGCGCGGTAATTCCCCTACTCGGTTCTAAAGCGAATAGGGGAATAACCGCGCGCTGTTCACTAAACGTATGCGTTATTTGCGGAAATCCCCGAAAATGCGTTTCGTTTTCAAGCAAATATAATTTGAGGGTTGCCATTCGTGTAAAAAAGTAAATAACTACCGATGACGTAATCATCATCTAGACTCCCCTACCCCCCATGCCATCCAAAATAAGCAAAGCAAAGAACGCCTGTTTTATCATTTCCCGTCATCACAAGGTTTCTTATTTTGTGTAATCATCTGGGATACTCGGTATGATGCTTCAGTTGCAGCCTTACTTTTGTCGATTGTTCTTAAAAACAATATCTGTTGTCCAATTAACTGATTTTTTTATTGTTTTTCGATTTTCCGTTCTGGTTGCAGAACATAATGGGAATGATTTTTCAAAATTCGAATGTACAGTTTTATAGTACCTCTGGATATTCCCTTTTTTATCAACGGAAACAGATGTATGACATAACAAACATACATTTTTACCTTTAACTTCTGTAAAGAAATATTGTTCTCCCATTCCGAATGGAACTGGTATGTCTTCATCTTTTTACTACTGCTCAGAACATTTTTAATTGCAGGCCAACTCTAACCCAACCGCTGGACTGTGTGCCGTTCAGTTCTGAGCGCTCTGTCGCCGTTCAAAGTAATCGGGATCGTTCTCGAACAGATCGCTCACCGCAGTGTTGCCGCTGCTTGTGTTTATTATGAGCTTCTATGATTTTTACACCTTTTTAAAATATGTTGTGAGCCACAAGAATTGCCTTTGCGAAAATAAAAGGATTTCCATACACTGACAGACTCAGCCCTGCATGTCTTATCGACTCTTCGGCAAATCAAAACTAGAACCGAGGGAATTTAGTACAGTTCCGGCAGGGAAACTGTAATAAATGGTACAAAACACTAAACTGCTGTAAATACAAGTAAGAAAAAGGTACAGTTAGCCTAATAGGCTGCAGTACCATCGGGAACTTTCCCGGGAAGAAAAAAAAAGACGCCGCACAAGAAGTAATCGATACAATTGACTCAATGCATCCGTCCAGCCATTGTTTACAATCAAATACATATTGACCATTAGCCGAGTATCTATAGATAACCTCCCGTGACCTTTCGCGTTCGACTTTGCTCACAAACGAGATTTAAACTTAAGGGAATGTTGCGATAAGGCAGTACCCGGTTGACCGGATCACCAATCGCACCGTACGCTTTAGCGAAGGCCCGTTTCGGATCCGATAAGGGCTGCCTCGCCGTGACACTTCCTTCCTCATGCCTGATTGGCACACCGTGATCGTTGATAGATTGTACAGTTGACTTAGGGTAAAATGACTCTTGCAGATGTGGTGGCCAGCACCGGGAGCATGATAGTGGTGTCGAACCGGTTGCCTTTCGTGCTCGTCCGGGATAAGGATGGAAACTTGAAGAGAAAGGCCAGGTAAGTTCAATAAGCTTTTACTCACTGGCGACAGAGTATTGTAAATTCCGATTTTGAGATGCTACGATTTTTGGATGTTAAGGCGTGAGTTTCAAGCCATTTACAAGAGTTCAGCTGCTTCGAAACTGACATTTTTCAATGTTATTATAAAAATTTACCTCGGTAGGCACCCGCAGTCATCCTTTCCTCTTCTAAAGTAGCGCCGACGACGGTCTAAGGCCAGCCCACCCTCGTTTCCTTTTTCGCCCGCCCGTTACCTCAGCAGATGGTGCTTGTGATCGTAGGAGCCCCGTTAAGTGAAATGTGAATCACGAAAAACGATTTTTTCATCTCTCAAGGACGAGTAAGCTTTGTAGTTTTTGAAAAGCAAACAAAAAACTCCTCAAACTTCGTTTTTTGACGCTTCACAGGCTCCTGGTCATTTTCGGAAAAAATTGTTAGAGTAAAAAATTGAGCGATAGAGGTTGTAGTAGGTGGAATATCTCAATTTTTTGACGTTGGTATATTTATACGCTTTCAACCGCAGTAATTCTACACACCTATTAGGCATATTTCAATCATCATAGATGTAAATTTACCCTTAAAACTTAGAAATATAAGAATAATAATAATAATAAAACATACTGTGATGTGTCTTGAAACTGTCAAACATCTCTTAAATAAAGGGGTAAACGTAAAATTTCTGTGGTTGCCAGGACACGTTGGTATACAGGGGAATGAAGCTGCTGATATGGCAGCGAAAGCAGCAGCAGCGCAACAAAACATCGACATCCCTGAAATAAAAATGTCTGATCATAAAAACTACCTCATAAACCGTATACAGCGACACTGGCAAATTACATGGGGTAACACTGATACCCACTTAAGACAGATAAAACCTAGTGTAGGATTATGGCCACATCCTATCAGACTGCCACGAGAGGAATGGGTGCGCATACATCGCTTACGCTTTGGCCACACACGTCTTACACATGCACATCTTTTGCTCGGAACAGATCCGCCCTTGTGCACTGGATGTAACTCTTCACTCACTGTACGCCGCATTATCTGCACATGTCCGATATTGTCGCAATATCGAGTGATCTATGGACCATTTGATAACCTGACAGAGAGTCTCACACAACCAGAAAAACTGAAAAACGTCATATCATTCTTAAAAGTATCTGGTTTCTATTGGAAGATCTGACCTAATGAACTTTTTGGAAATGAACCATTTTAATTTTTGTGTATCTTATTCTCAACTGAGATTAAATGAATGTTATGTAACGATGATTTTGCATCATACCTACCTTAGCTTAGTATTGTCATCTTGAACTAAAAGAAACATGTAACAATAGAATTTGGATAAATCGAAATACTTACGTGAACGCAAACAAGATCGTGAAATGCAGATAATGACCACAAAAAAAAATTAAAAACTAATATTAATGAATATATGCCTGACAAATTTAGTCGTGTAACATTTCCCAGAGATTATCTTTTGTTGCTAATAGAATCTGAAAGTAAATGACAATAGTATATCCTTTTCGATTAATATCTGGAATTTGCGTAGTTAGTTTTTTAAAAATGCGACCCTTACCACTTAGACATGTAAGATGTTATATATTTTATACTTTAGATTTATTACGTATATTATATTTATATATTATTGAATACGGCTAATAACCAGAGAAGTTGACGCCGTCAAAAAAATAAAATAAAACATGTTATAAATACCTACCGGGTGCTGTAATCGAGAACGCAACTCACAAAATATACTCGGGAGTTTGGAGCATTTCCATGACAGAGTGGTACTGAGCACTGCCTGTGGTTCTGTGAGGAGTACCGATCCCTCATCCGCCTTGTACGAGATCAAGAGAATGCGGGTATAGGAGATATAAAGCATCATAAAAACTGCTGAAGCAAATTCCTTATTAAAGCTTCATAGAGGCAAGCCTTGGCATGAAATCTTCTACAGACATGTAGAGGAACATAGCTTGTGTAACCAGTTAACGGTCTCATTCCTAAGATCTTGTGGGTAAATCCTGAGACTTAGGGATTCACTATTACTTGCCAAAATGGTATATTTAATACCTTTGGGTGTCTTTCAACTGGTATCTGATTCAGGCGTATTATACGCTTACCTTGTGCTGCAACGGACTTTTAAGCCATCTCGACAGACAAGCCATTTGAAAAAATGACTTCAAGTAGGTTTACGCTATACTTGCCATACCTTCTAAATAGCTCCTAGTACAATTTTCCAGGTAGTCCAGTATTAAAGAATGCAGGTGCACTACTTGGACTTCACTGAAAAAAAAATTGCTCAGACTGCAGCAACGAGCGTGTCCGTACAAGGCGGCCTCATTTCTTTGGATCTCTGGGGTGAAACGAATCATCATCTGTGTTTGATAACTTGTTATCTTAGCTCTATACTATATATACTAAGTGACATATAAATCCGAACACTCAGTTTAAATGGTTTTATTTTAATAAAATTTTGTATAAGTACTTAATGAAGCATAATAAGTAAATGATAAAGATTTCAAAATGATTGCACTGCTTTAAAGCCCTTTGACCTTTAATAATGTGTGGATGCACCCTGATGTGCTACGCATTCTCTAACGCGCCTAGCCATGCTTCTGATCAGGTGGTCAATGTCCTCCTGTGGTATCTCATTCCAGGCAACCACCAACTCCTCTCGAAGTGCTTCTAGAGTCTGACGAGGACGTTGCAAATTGAGCAATCTCCTACCCATCATATCCCACACGTGCTCAATTGGGGATAAGTCGGGAGATCTTGGTGGCCATGGTAACAATGTGACATCATTATGTTGAAAGAAATCTATTGTGACTCTTGCAACATGTGGTCGGGCATTATCTTGTTGGAAAGTCGGATCTGCCAGGATGTCAAGATAGGGTGAAAGATGGGGTTCTAGAACTTCGTGGATATAACGCTGCACGTTCATGTTACCTCTGATGAAGATTAAAGGTGACCTGGAACCATAAGCTATAGCACCCCAAACCATAACTCCAACAGTGTGATGAACATATTTTTCAACAAAAAATCCTCCTTTCACCACGTCACCTTCTAACCCTGGCACGACCATCGTGCATGCCTAAACAAAATCGAGACTCATCACTGAAGACAATACTGTTCCATTCCTGATTCCAGAGTGACCGTTGTCTGCACCACTCAAGGCGATTACGTCGGTGTTATCGAGTTAAAGGGAGGACCCAGGGTGGCCGGTATGAAAACAAGCCAAAACTTCTCATTCGTCGGTAAACACTTCGCATGCCAATAGGTCTTCCGTGTTCTGCAAACCATTCATTTGCAATGGACCTGGTAGTGGAGAAACGGTCCCTTAAGGCCAATAATCTTAGGCGGCGATCTTCACGGTCTGTTGTTCTACAGCGGCGTCCAGTGCCCCTTGCTCTTTGCGTACGGCCTTCTCGAAGCCATGCCTGACAACACCTAACCACAGTGTCTACACTTCTTTGCGCTCTGCAATTGCCCGAAAAGAAAGTCCAGCTTCCCGAAGTCCCACTATACGGCCCCCATCGAACTCACTAAGTTGACGAAATCGTACAGGTCTCCGTACTCTAGGCATCGTAACCGATCGTAAAGGATGTCAAGAACCAAAATCCGCCAACGTTGATTCTTTACTGCGGCTTAAATATTCATTTTTAGAGCGTTAGTGAATTAAAAAAAGCAGTATAAAAACCGGAATGTCCAACTGATAAGGCTGAACATTTTTTCACTTGTTATTTACAGTAAGATAAATACATTCACCAACTTTTATTAAAATAAAACCATTTAAACTGGGTGTTCGGATTTGTACGTCACTTAGTATATATTTATATATATAATATTACCTCACAAAACCAGTTAACCTCATTAAATTAAACCAATTAAACCAAACAAAGCGCCCATTTCATATGTGCACGTGTCACCGCGCCGGCTGCTACTTGCTTTTATCAGTTCCTCGCATCTACTAGCAAAGATGCATCATTTACAATCCTTATGGCGCACGGCAGCTGCGACTAATAGATACGCGATCCGTCTGCCGAAAACATTTCTATGGTCAAATCTATGACGTGTGAAATATGTCTAATAGGGGCGCAGGATTATATATAAAAAAAAATATAACACGTCGCAACGTCGTTGCGCAACTCATCTTTCATGCACCTTCTAGTGATCTTTTAGACTCCAAATTTTCTATTCAAACATCTAGAGAGACGAGCCCACTTTATAAAGATAAGGTTGTTATGGATGCCATATCACACTGATACTGAACATCAAACTTGTTTGTCGTCTATTTTGTTAATGAGGCGCTATTTGAATTTATTTGCTGTTGGTATTCGGTTCTCATCGAATTGGTACTCTCACATTGTTGATTTTTATTGAATGTTTAACCAGATAGAACGCGTTTCAAATATAAGTCAATAATCTGGGTAATCAAAATTTTGTGATAGTGACGGAGCAGAAAAATGTTTGGAGAGGATGGAAGACAAAAAAAAAGATGAAAGATTGCGAAACTAGATAAGTTTTGTTCTTTCATCACTAAGATCTTCTGTTAATATGAAATTTAGAGGTGGTTTTTTTCCAGGCACTTTGTGATTTACTTTGATCTCAAACCCTTATCAGTTTAGTTTGTTGTTTAATACAGAAACAATATTTTATTCGTCAATCTACATTTTCTTTGAAGTAGTGTTAGCTAAGAAGTGTCGGTTGTCTAATTTATCTGGCTGAATCATAATACGCTTATTTCCTCACAGTGAATACCATTTATAGAGCAAAATGCAATAGTATAGCTTACATGATAGTTACAGCGAAAAATTAAAATGTCTTAGAACTACAACCAAAAATAGAAATAGAAGAAATAATACAAATATAAACATAAAATACAGGCTTGAGATTTATTATTTAGTTCACAAAAACTGCGCGAACAGTATACTTGAAATTTTCTTGGCATTTCGGCACAAAAATTGCACAAGAAAGTATTAACGTGCCTATATATTATT